TGTAAACAACTTAGATGCAAGAATGCAGAACTTTGGGTCTAGAATGTAGACCATTGGTAGCGAACTTCTGCCCTCAGGGGATCCTCCATTTGTGTTGTAAGCCTGTATTTAAGGTTTCTTCCCTCTTGCAATAAACGGCATTCGACATCCAATCTTACGAATGACTCGCTGTCTCTTGTCTCTATTTTTTAATCCGCAGCCCTTCGCTCGGACATGGTGAACGCGTATTGGTAACGCGGGCGTTACTGCTACATTAATGGGCACCAGTGGAAATTTCATGTAATTCTCACTTCCCATGAAATAGTGTTCTGAAAACTCTTCCTTAGCTTCCAGGCCCTGGGACAGTGGTGGCAGAGTAATCCCAGCCAACATGCTGCAGTGCCCTGTCCCCAGTCCTCTGGTGATGGCAAAGGCAGATGGTGAGGGAGAGACAGCAACCAGAGATCATCAGAAAGGGGAACAATGGCTCAGCCCCAGAAATCGGAGGTCATGCGCCATTTGTGCGGCTCTGACCTCCTTGACATATACCCCTAGGAATTTTTTTTTAATTCTGTGTTTAATTTGTGGGTTTCTTTGTTTTCTTTAGCCATGGAGGATGTTTACTAAAGCCACAAGGTGAACCCAAGGGCAAACTGCAGGTCAGAGTAGCTAGGCTTCCCTAAAGCCTAGAACTAGCACAAGACAAGACACACAGAGCAAAATCTGCTCTGTTCCTCTCATCATCTTTGGCCATATAGTTCTCATGAGCTTGGTGAGTTTCTTTTTAAGCATTTATTTATTTTTATTTTTTGCACATCAATGTCTGCATGTGCTACATACACTGCATACTTTTTTTGTTGCCTGCAGAGGCCCGAAGAATGTCAGCGGCAGCCTGGCTGAAGGGCAGGTGATGAGCACAGAAAGAAGCCATTTTGTTTAAACTGGGTCGCCGGAGTCCTCACTCCTGCTGGAGAGCCAGGACCTCAGAAGACAGGACCTCTGCTCAGGTCACCCTCGATCAGGCCCTATCTTCAGAGAAATTCTAAGCTCGGGCATTCAAGGAAGGAACTATGAAACTCTCCACAGTGGCAGGCCCGAGAAGAAAGAGGCGCACTGTTCCCATCACCACTGACCTCCACACTATGTATGTTTATCATGACATAGCGTAGGTGGTGTGCCTTGGTGACGGTGACTCCCCGTCCTTGCAGCTGGATCCATGGCCTGCCTGATGGCTACAGGGAGCGACTTCTGGTGGGACAGCACTGCCACCTCTAAGAGAGAATGTGCCAGTGGGAAAGGCGTGAAATGAAGGAGAGTGAATCCCAAGCACCTGGAACACAGGGCTGGCCCATGGCTTCCCAGGAACCTCACACTGAACCGAAAACTTGGCTTAGAAGGGCTTATTGGGAAATGTTATCATTTTTATTATTTTCTACAGAGAAAATATTTTCCAGTTTTAAGTAACCTTGGACTTTTGAATTATAACCTGTTTTTATGTTCAAGCTACCTGTGTATAATTTCTCCTATAGTTGTACATAAAATGTTTTTACAATTTTAAAAAAAAGGACAAATATTATAGAATTGAAATATATAGAATATATATATATGGAGAAGAAAGGAATATAGAGCAATGATTTCCTAAGTACAGAATCTCTGTTTTGTGTGATGGAAAAGCCCCACAAACAGACAGTAGTATCAGGACATAATATCATGAAATTAATGAATATCATAAATATAGTTAGTGAATGAATACTGCAAATGTAATCAATGAATATCGCAAATGTAATTAATATCATGAGTGTAATTAATGAATATCATGAGTGTAATTAAAAAATGAATTTAAAAAAAATCAACCAAGACAAAAAACAAATCCAACATGGGCTAGAGAGATGGATCACAGGTTAAGGTTGTTCTTCCAGAGGTCCTGAATTCAATTCTCAGCAACCACATGGCGGCTCACAACCATCTGTAGTGAGATCTGGTGCCCTTTTCTGGCCTCCAGAGATGCAGGTAGAACACTGTATACATGCTAAATAAATAAATTTTTTTTGGTGGGGCGGGGTCTGAGACAGGGTTTCTCTGTGTAGTTTTGGTGCCTGTCCTGGATCTCGCTCTATAGACTAAGCTGGCTTTGAACTCACAGAGATCCGCCTGGCTCTGCCTCCCGAGTGCTGGGATTAAAGGTGTGCACCACCGCCACCGCCACCGCCACCGCCACCGCCACCACCACCCAGCCTTAAATAAGTAAATAAAAAAAAAAAAACACCACACACACACACAATAAAACTAACAAAAAATCAGTTTACAAAGAATAAACAAGGATATCTTGTAAAAGTAAGAACAGATGCTCACAGAAACTATAAAGTTGTTAAAAATCCTAGTATTGGGGGTGGATTACCTCCTGAGATGTTGCCCAGGGATGCTCTAGAGGCCACTAAGACAATAAAGATCTCCATTGATGTTGGTTACATTCCAAAACTGGATGGTGCGACACTCTTGCTGAAGACATCCCTTGCTTTGGTTGCAGGTCTTGAAGTGAGTTGGAAGTGTTCCCAACCTATGGTCTAGCTCTTGTATCGCCAGAGATGTTACTCAGGTCACTGAGAATAATTATGATCCCAAGTCCTACTCAGTTATGGATTCTGCATACTCGATAATAAAAAGTGCCTGACAAGACTTGCCAGATAGTGCCACAGCAGCACATGTATTTATGGATGGACCCAGCTCTCCGATTTGACGAAGGTCTGCTTCATGAGAGGAAATTCACATCTAGTGCTGGGGGCTTACACAGAACCTATGGCCAGGGAAGCCATAGGTCCCAGGGGAAAAACAATTGCCATTGCTCTAGTCAGTGAGTATGATGTACTAGCTAAGCACTTACCAACATCTGCACTTATGACTAGAGGTTATTGCTGCTGTTGACGATCATTTATGTTCTTCTGTTTCTTGTTCTCTGTATTTTCCACACTTGTATTTTACCACAGAAGAAATACCACTGACATTGACCATCAGCCATGTTCTAGAAACAGGTTTAAAAAAAAAAAGTGCTGGACTGTGTTGGTGCACACCTTTAGTCCCAGCACTCAGGAGGCAGAGGCAAGTGGATCTTTGCGAGTTCGAGGCCAGCCTGCTCTACAGAACGAATCCTGGGCAGCCAGGGCTGCCTGTCTTGAAACAGAGAGACTCTTGTCTTTTAAAACTTAAAAATTAGTTTCCCTACCCTACTAGAGTTAGAAGAACAGTCAAATGTCCATGTTACCCCCTCCAAGGCTCTGGACCACTGCAGAAAATCGGGCAGAAAGGACCTAGGAGCAAGTGGTGGGACGCTGTGAAGCAGTTCCTATGGAATGAAGACCTTCCATCATGGAGGGAAGCTCATTCACACACAGGATATTCACCGGAAGAGAATCTAAGGGAAAGTAAACAGTTCATCTTGAGAGGAATCTCCTTAAGCTCAGCAAAGAACTCAAAACAGCTCCAGGAAGTCCCTGAAGCTGATCATGGGGCTGTTGGCAGGCATGCTAGGACACGCTGAGCTGCCTGGAAAAGGCTCAGACCAACCAAGCTATCTGAAAGGGACCCTATCGCTGCCTGCGGGTTGTGTGGTGTGCTCCAGTGTTCCAGCTTTTGGGGCTGTCAGGCTGGAGCAGGCTTTTTGGTGATGGCAGATGTCCTTGACAAATGTCTGCCCCTGTCACCCTTCACCCATATTCCTGCATCCCCAGTAAAACTCATTGGTTCACCGAGCTGGACTTTGGTGGGCGCCTCACATTGGTTCCCTATCAGAGATGAGTAGACTTTTGTTCCCATCTCCTGGGAACAGTGCCACACAACGGGCTGCAGGATCTGCCTCCTGGGGGCTCCTCGCTGCCTTCTGCACAGAGATGAATCAGGTCACATTCTCCACAGCCCATGATGTGAGTCCCAAGGCAGTAGTGTGTTTCTTCCCCTCTGTGCCATATCCGTGCCCAGAGGGACTGCTGGTGGGCATAGTCATCAGGAAACGCTGAGTAGCCCTGCAGCCAGACCCGGCTTTGTGAGGACAGTGCCATCTGGAGTGCCTCCTGGGACCCCTCAAGCTTGCCAACCTGTGACGCTTCAGTTTCTGCCTCCTTAACCCACTGCCAGGCTCCGTGGGCTGAGTTACTGTTGCCCTAAAGTTTGATTGTGTCAAGTTCCAGCCCCAGGCTTCAAAACCCAGGAGCTTCCTTTTTCTTTTTTTTTTTTTTTTTCCCTTCAAGACAGGATTTCTCTGGGTAACCCTGGCTGTTCCGGAACTCACGAGATTCCTGCCTCTGCCTCCCGAAGAGCTGAGAGCATGTACCACCACTGCGTGGTGAAAACCCAGGATCTTAAGCAGTCCCAAGACACCATGGGTCTTCCGAAGTCCTCTTTTTGGAAAGCGTTGTCTTGCCCCATATTCTCGAGACCAACCAGACTGCCCCGGTGGTCTGCTGGGTGGGATTCTGCACTCTTTTCTGCCCTCACGCTGGTGCAGCCCGTGTGAGGTTTTGCTTTCCCATTTCTCAATCTTGCCTGCTCTCTCGACTTTCACAGTATCAAGAAAGCAAACCAGGCAGATCAGGTGACAAGAGCAATTCCAAGCAGAGGCGTGGAAATAAGACTGGATCCAGAGGCCATGTAGGCCTGGCAGCTTGGAATAGTAGTGGGCCTCCCCAGAGAAGCCTGGTTGGAGGCCGTCTGAAGAAGCCCTGCTCTTCTCTGTGGTCTGAGGGAAGAGGACCAAGGGGATTAACTTCTGATGACTAGGCCTGGTAGACAGTGCCCCCTTTGCTGGGGCTGAAGCCCCATGGAACAGAGATGTGGGTAGCTGTGACTTGCTGAGGATTCAGTTCCTTGGCATGGACTGGGTCTCCGAGCTGAAACACACCCTTCTCAGGGGGTAGGTGCAGGATGGGGAGAGGGAAAGAGCCAGAGGGGTAGGTAGCAACAGCTGATGAAGCTGTGAAGGCCTGGCCATTTATGCCATTGGCTCCTGTGGCCCCCCACAAGCATGTGGTGATACTATACTTAAGACAGTTTACTTATCAGACTTTGAAGTATCTCCAGCATTTCAGAGAACAGGAGAGGGCTGGGGAGAGGAGCCTGGGGCCATCCTCACAAGAACAAAGATATTCTAGGGACACCTGTGTCTTCCCTGTGTCCATCAGACCGTTGGGCCGATGATGGACCTCCAGGAACTGGAATTTCCCTTAGGATCTCATACCAGGAGAAGGAAAAGGCTGAGGCTCTGGGACTAGGCAGAGGGGAGCCTGGCTCCATACAGCTGTCTTGTCATGATGGGCTGGACCACATTTGACCATGTCTCTTACCTTTGGTTTAAACCTAACGCTCATGTTAGGACTCCAAAGATGGCCTTGGCAGCAGTGGGGGAGAGAAGTGGACCTCTTTGCTCCCTCCCCAGGGGAGTCACACTGAACAAAGCTCCCTTTCCTACTTTACACTATGGCTTGTTTAACAGACTTATTCAAGGAAGGCGGCTGAGCCCTGCCTGTTAAGGACCCTGGTCTGAGGGTGTCACCCATGGCCCAGGGGTGGCAAGGCCCTGCTTTGACAGTAGCTAGTCCCTGACTTCACAAGAGAATTTGGGCTCCATCCAAATTGCTCTTCTCGATGACTTCATCTCTAACACATGTCACTGGCCTGGGTCCATGAAACCTGGCCTTGACTGCAGATCCAGGACACCAGGGCAGGTAAGAACAGACCAGCCATCTTCTGTGTCCTTCCCAGACGAGAACTCCAGGTCAGGTCCCCATCAGGGAAGGCGCTGGGGAAGAATCCGAATATCAAGGCTGTCTGTCACCAAGCTACAGGCAAGGGGCAAGCTGGGGGCTGATAGACAGACAACTCGAGGATGAGGGACGGTACCTGCCACATTTCCCATGTGAGGGCAGAGGAGGGGAAGTTACCAGATGGCCACCCACTGTGAGGTACATGTGACCCAGAGTCCCACCCTCAGTGACCATCAGGTCCCAGAGAAGCTGCGGGCATCCGCCTACCCTCCTGTCCTGGCAGAGCTGCCCATCTGGTTTCCACACCTTTGGTCTTCGCCTTCACTGCTGTGCGGAAGGTTCAAGCTGCCTTCCCCTCCCCACAAAGCCCTCTTGGTAACTCTCCTGCACGCGCAGTTTCATCCCGAGAGCTCCAGCTCTTCTGACAGCCTATGGCACACCTGAGTGGCCCCCACCACGGCCCATATAGCAAAGAGCTACCAGGAGCAAACGTGGATCAGCTTGAAGAAACTGCAAGCCTTAGCTAGCCCTACCTGCCTAGCCCGGGGCAGCTCAGCCCCCAAGATCTGCTTGTCCCACTCAACACGGCCAGGACCGGCTTCCCGCTGGCCTTCCCAGGAGGCATCTGCGCAATGAGGAGTCCTTGATCTTCGATCCTATCATCTAGACCACAGGAACTGACATCTTCAGGGCTCTTGTGTCCACAGGGACCTCAAGCCAGTTTCAGTTCCTAACTACATCCCTGTCCCTCATGTGTTCTGTCCTTCACGGGGCTCCCTGGCTTGCCTCTAAATTCTCCTCAGCCCCTTCAGCAAACACCAAGACATTTTTCCAGTGGAAAAATAGCCCCCCCACCCCCATCCTCCACCCCCAGTAATAGCTGCCCTCATCTCCATTTGCCTTGATCCCGGAGAAAGAGCCCAGTTCCCCCAGACTTCCCGCACTGTGCCTGAGAACATTCGGGAAGGACAGTTCACACTCCAGGAAGCGGTCGGCAGCCGGCATGGCTACTCTTCTTTTATTAAAAGGGCACTGTTGGCTTGGGTTCAGGTCTACAGTGACTTTCTTCATCCCACCCTGTTGCTGTGGTACTCTTCAGGCGAGGATCGAGCAAAGCAGTCACATGATGCAGGGGAGCAGCAGATGGCTCACACAGCCCTCACTCCATGAAGAGAACCTGGGTACAGACCTGGAACAAAACCCCCTGGACCTCCTTGGGCAACAGGACCTGAAAGGCCCCAGCTGGCCACGGAGCCCCTTCCGGCCCGCCGGTCCTGCCGACTGCGGGGGAGGCTGGAAGCACTCTTAGGACTCCCAGTCATCCTCATCCTCGTCTCCCACGGGCTGCTGCGGGGGCGGCAGAGGGGGGATGGAGTCTGACATCCGGCTGAAGGCTCCACCCGGCCCCTCGCTGGTTCCGGTGCCGGGTCCTTTTCCAGAAATACC